GTGTGTGTGTGTGTGTGTGTGTGTGTGTGTGTGTGTGTGTGTGTGTGTGTTTGTGTGTGTTTTGTGTGTGTGTGTGTGTGTGTGTGTGTGTGTGTGTGTGTGTGTGTGTGTGTGTTGTGTGTGTGTGTGTGTGTGTGTGTGTGTGTGTGTGTGCGGTTTTGAATTATGCAGATACGTAGGAAGAACAACTGTAGAGGATAATGATGTAGTCTTGTTGCTGGTGTTCTCCATCACCTCTTCTTCTCCAACTCTTCCATCAGTTCTTAGGTCTCTTGTTCTCCCACTTCCCTTACTTCTTGTCTCTTGTACACACTTCCACTAGTTCCCGTCTTCATCTCCTCTTCCACTTCCCTCATTTCTTGTCTTGTTCTCTCCCACTTCCCTCGGTTCTCGGCAAGATCTTCTCCCTGCATGCAACATCATCTTGCAACTTAAGTGTATGAGCGTACATATCTAATCAATGGATGGAAAACACTGAACTCATCACACCAACTCTTGGTCGATTGATGAGGCATCCGTCACGAGTCAGTGACGTGGCTGTGGTGACTGCGGCGGTCATTACCCGAGGTTCGAGCGTGTAATGACGCATTTCCCGGGAGGATGACCTACCTACATGGAACGATAACTGGATGAGACACTCAAGGAAAATAAAGAGTGTAATAAACACTGGCCAATGGCAGGAGCGATGCCACAATGAGACAATGAGAGAGATGATAGTGTATTTTGACATCACATTGGAGTCCCTCTTCAGTCGGCTGAAGGCCTCGGTGTAATTATTTTGTGTTTCATGGTGGGAATATTCATTTTATGCCAGTATGTGTTACAGCATCGTACTATAAACAAACGAAATTTTCTTTTTGTGAGCTGTGGCATGCAAAGAGTACGTAACCTTTATTCGGCGCATGTACACACCATCATTAGAAGGCTATCTCCCCCAACCAGCGAACCAGGTACTAAGGGTTGATGATGGGGCCCCATCGTTCAATCAGTACCCAGGTTCCAGCCAATGAGAAGATGATTTTTGGCAATCGCAGAGGTGTTGTGGGTACCACTCACCTGTCTGCCCTTGTCATTCCCATTCTAGAGCTGGTTGAAGCACGGTCTGTTCTCTATTGGCTTCTGTTCTGCCTTGCTTACTGTGGAGTGCACTAATACCTATTGTTGTACATAGTGTATATAGTGTACATACTTCTGTTCTAAATTGGTGAAGGATAATACAAGTCAAAAGTTCTTCTGCTGTGTTAATTTTGCTCCCTTTACACCCAGGATAACAGGCCTTTGGGACTCCTGGGTTGTAATATGAGCTCGTATTGAACAGAAGATTTCCATAACTTTGTGAAGGATCATCATGAAACTCGGCAAACTTGTCATACAGAAGTTGCTATAATTCCTACCTGAGGTGTGTGCACTTATGGCTGAGTACATCTCAGGCAACAGTAGCTACAGCACTCTCAGAGCAACACTCTCGCACCTGTGACACTCATATATTGGTTTAAAAAAGTGACAAGTTGAAGAATGAGACATGCAACATACGGGAGTCTTTACTAAGGAGACGTTTCGCCACACAGTGGCTTCATCAGTCCAATACAAAGCAGAAAGGTGTAAGGAGAGGAGGAGTTTGAGGTAATCAGTCCCTCAGCCTGGAGTCGATGTACAGCATAGGGCCGTAGACGTGGCTTATATACAGTAGCGAGGTGAGGTGAAGCAGGAGGAGGCGGGGTCATAGTGATACCATCCACTAGTCGAAGTAGGTCTTCCTCCAAAAGTTGGACAAGTTGAAGAATTCTTTGTATCAAGATCCATGATGTTGCAGTGTCTGACAGGTGTGATAAATGGTTTAAAAAAGGGACTGATTACCTCAAACTCCTCCTCTCCTTACACCTTTCTGCTTTGTATTGGACTGATGAAGCCACTGTGTGGCGAAACGTTTCCTCAATAAAGACTCCCATATGGTGCATAAGTGCCTCAATCTTCAATTCGTATATTGTCTAGAGTCTCCTAGACACACTCTCTCACTCCGCTGACAGACTTTCCTATGATGTTCAGTGCAGTTTGTGGTTAAATCTATGTGTTTAGATTTCCGTCCTCTTAAAGAAGAAAACTGGCACAATACTGTCACTGAAACAATACATAAATAACCTTTAACTAGTCACACACGTAACGTCGTCTTCAGTTACTTTCTCCTATGTGCGGGTTATTTGTGTATTCTCTCCTCATCTCTCCTTCCGTTACCTTTTTCCTCCTTTTCCATTTTGTTTTTCCCGTGTGATGGAATATGACAGGAAAACATTCCCATTTTTTGTCCCACTGTGTAACTATCAGATAGTGTAGCAACACACTGCTGGTGTTCCCACTATGTAACTATCATATAGAATAGTGTAGCAACACTGCTGGTGTTCCCACTATGTAACTATCATACACAGTAGTGTAGCAACACACTGCTGGTGTTCCCACTATGTAACTATCATACAGAGTAGTGTAGCAACACTGCTGGTGTTCCCACTATGTAACTATCACACACAATAGTGTAGCAACACTGCTGGTGTTCCCACTATGTAACTATCATACACAGTAGTGTAGCAACACACTGCTGGTGTTCCCACTATGTAACTATCATACAGAGTAGTGTAGCAACACTGCTGGTGTTCCCACTATGTAACTATCACACACAGTAGTGTAGCAACACACTGCTGGTGTTCCAACTATGTAACTATCATACAGAGTAGTGTAGCAACACTGCTGGTGTTCCCACTATGTAACTATCACACACAGTAGTGTAGCAACACTGCTGGTGTTCTCACTATGTAACTATCATACACAGTAGTGTAGCAACACACTGCTGGTGTTCCCACTATGTAACTATCATACAGAGTAGTGTAGCAACACTGCTGGTGTTCCCACTATGTAACTATCACACACAGTAGTGTAGCAACACACTGCTGGTGTTCCCACTATGTAACTATCATACAGAATAGTGTAGCAACACTGCTGGTGTTCCCACTATGTAACTATTATACAGAGTAGTGTAGCAACACTGCTGGTGTTCCCACTATGTAACTATCATACACAGTAGTGTAGCAACACACTGCTGGTGTCCCCACTATGTAACTATCATACAGAATAGTGTAGCAACACTGCTGGTGTTCCCACTATGTAACTATCATACAGAGTAGTGTAGCAACACTGCTGGTGTTCCCACTATGTAACTATCATACAGAATAGTGTAGCAACACTGCTGGTGTTCCCACTATGTAACTATCATACAGAATAGTGTAGCAACACTGCTGGTGTTCCCACTATGTAACTATCATACACAGTAGTGTAGCAACACTGCTGGTGTTCCCACTATGTAGCTATCATACAGAATAGTGTAGCAACACTGCTGGTGTTCCCACTATGTAACTATCATACAGAATAGTGTAGCAACACTGCTGGTGTTCCCACTATGTAACTATCATACACAGTAGTGTAGCAACACTGCTGGTGTTCCCACTATGTAACTATCATACAGAATAGTGTAGCAACACTGCTGGTGTTCCCACTATGTAACTATCATACAGAGTAGTGTAGCAACACTGCTGGTGTTCCCACTATGTAACTATCATACAGAATAGTGTAGCAACACTGCTGGTGTTCCCACTATGTAACTATCATACAGAGTAGTGTAGCAACACTGCTGGTGTTCCCACTATGTAACTATCATACAGAGTAGTGTAGCAACACTGCTGGTGTTCCCACTATGTAACTATCATACAGAGTAGTGTAGCAACACACTGCTGGTGTTCCCACTATGCAACTATCACACACAATAGTGTAGCAACACACTGCTGGTGTTCCCACTATGTAACTATCACACACAATAGTGCAGCAACACACTATTGTGTGTTGTTACACTATTGTTACACACTATTGCCATTTGCTCTGGTCAATATGGCGGTGACCATGAGTGGGCAGAGTGCATGGGTCATGAGTGCATGGGTCATGAGTGCATGGGTCATGAGTGCATGGGTCATGTACTCACTGACTTTATCAGTGTCAAGCGATGGGTTGTTCTGAATAACTAACAGCCCACCGACTAGAAATAAATAAGCCCCCCTCCCTGACTGAGTCTGTTTATTAAATCACTCTTCGACCCAAACATTGTTTTCTTAAACTCTTTCCATGTACTATCGAAAAGATAATTGAGCTTGAAGAATTGTAATTTTGAAGTATGGGGAAACTCTAAGACATCTTCATTTGGTTGTACATTACGTCGTCTTTATGAATGTAATTCCTGATAATGTAGATTAATTTATCATTGGAACAACGATTCACTCTACGAAGATGTCTCAGTCCTTCCCACCTACCAAAATCATACTAGATGATTCATTAGAGGTTTGCCGGTACTTCCGGCCCGGGTCTTCTCCATATGGTGACCCGGCTACTAGATGATGTTTCCGTTTGTTGATTCTCTGTAGACTTTATAAAGGCACAGCTAGTGCGAAAGGTCTTGTAAAAAGGCTCGATTTCTTCTTCGTGTTCACGGTTTACAGAGTCACTGACAGTCTATGCCGTATGGAGTTCTGTTTCCCGATGTCGTCGATCCGATATGTGTGCTCCACCATTATCTAGATTCGCTGGGTTTAAGGGCTCACTGAAATCTGAGCCACACTGGGTCCTCAGCATTAGGCTGCGTGTCATTTATGTACCACCGGTTAGACATACTTTTAGTCCCCATAAAATGGGGATCCGAGGAAAGAGGGGGAAGGAAGGAACTAGCTCCAGTTTCTTGCTCCAAAAGCCCTTCACCTGCATTAAGATTCCTCCCATAAAAGGTAAACAACGTGTGAATATTGCTGTAACTTGTTGCTTCATTGTTGTCGTCCTGGTGTACGTAATATCCTTACAAGTGATGTACTACTAAGGAATGTTCTTATAAGTGATATCCTAGTAAGGAATGACCACCTTATAAGCCATAAAAAAACGGCTGGGGAAAATGTTATATTTTTATTCACATGTATACAAAACTGGTGTTAGGAAACTAGTGTTACAAAGAGGTTTTAATAAATATCACAGGTTTTAAAGCTATGAAGAATCAGGGACGGCGATCGAGCCTCCACCAGTGAGTTACGGGGAGTAGCCCTACGCTGGTTCGGCGCTTAGTAAAGTACATTACAATCTGATCGTAGACAACTGGCAAGTTTGAGCCAGATTGTGGTGGCTTTCCTGGCGAGGCTTCCTGTAGCAGTCCTGCTACCTGCAGCAACCCTGCTATCTTGAGATGTTGAAGTGTTGAAAAATGTGCTGTCAGGCTTCCTTTTGAAACCCGGTACTTTGACAGGGATAGTTCGTGAAAAAAAATCGGCTGTCTTCAAAGGGATACCTAGTGTAAAAACCAGCTACGTTCACATGCATAGCTGGTTTGAGGACTTGTATCTTCACAGAGATAGCCGGAATAGCTGCTTTGATGATAGCTGGACTGATGACCCGCTATCATCACAGGGAGAGCTAGCCTGAAGACAGCAGTTTACAGCAGTAGTAGCCTTCCTGCAACCTCCGCCAACCAGAAGCCACAAGGACGAAGGTGAGAATTTTTGTGGTAGTAATCCCGCCTGAGAAAGCCATAATATCTATTGATAGTAACCCTGGCCACCACCACCGCCACCACCCAAGCCTCCACCTAGGCCTCCGCCTAGGCCTCCGCCAAGGCCTCCACCTGCACCCGATCCGCTGGGATATTGCGCCTGGCCTTCATAGGTGATGGTGGGGTGGTACCCCCACGCGTCAACGTAGTACTCGACTATAAGACGTCGACCGTCTGGTAACTGGACGTAGTAACTGTGGACCAGAATAAATATTAGTAACAGAAGCTGTTGACTCAGTCGCCTGAGCTTTTTATTGTGATGTGCAGTACACGGTACATCAGGTACTGCCCAATACACTAATGAGCATATTAGACACGTTGAACGTTTCTAAGTTATAATTACGTGGTATATGATAGATGGGATTGTTTACACTGTGGAAAGGAAGGCTTAGTGGGCGGATGGGATTAATAGTACTCTTGGAACACTTGCTCATACAGGACACGATACGGTGTAAGATGTCAGTAGCACTATAATCCCCCCAGTAACAAGAAGAGTGAGTGTAGTAGCTTATGCAGTGTCAAGAGTGATCTTAAGTGAGTGCAAATAGTTTTCACTCTTACGCGATGGAACAGGTTATACTCTGAGTTGGTGTGTTTCGATACGAGTGTGTGTTGATGAGTGTGTTGACGCGAGTGTGTGTTGATGAGTGTGTTGACGCGAGTGTGGGTGTTGATGAGTGTGTTGATGTGAGTGATGAACTCACCTGCCGCTGGTGTCGTCGTTGTTCCTCTCCTCCTGGTGGCCATAGTCGTTGCCTGAAGGCTGGTCGTTCACGTCCCACTTGAAGTTGTAGTTGGCGGGGGCGTACTGCCCGCCGCCCTGTCCACCGTATCCTCCTGACCCGCCGGAACCTCCCGATCCACCGAATCCGCCGGAACCGCCTGATCCACTGTACCCTCCTGACCCGCCGGAACCTCCCGATCCACCGAACCCGCCCGAACCGCCTGATCCACTGTACCCGCCAGAACCTCCGCCACCTCCAGATATGATTCCGCCGCCGCCGCCGCCGCCGCCACCGCCACCACCACCAGCTCCTCCAATGCCAGGAGCGCCGTAGCTCTGAGGGGCCGCCAAAGCCGCCGCCGCCACCAAGATCACGAGCACCACAGTCTGTTGGAGGGAAAAAAAAAGAATACATATAAATTGTTGTATATTACAAAGCGCCAACACAGCATGGGTCATGAAAGGAGTAGTGGAGACTCGATCCACCCTCCATTACTACACTGACCCACACACATAGATTGTTAGAATCTCTTGGTACATTTGTGTTGAGACGCTTTCTTCATCGTTACTAACACTGTTACTGAACTGGCCACTTTGATTCAATTTTCATACATGCTGAGGAACTCTTCGTAGGAATATATCTTATGGGCTCTTAAAAAGTAAGATAGATATAAGGGGAGAGAGAGAGAGAGAGAGAGAGAGAGAGAGAGAAAAGAGAGAGAGAGAGAGAGAGAGAGAGAGAGAGAGAGAGAGAGAGAGAGAGAGAGAGAGAGAGAGAGAGAGAGAGAGAGAGAGGTAAACAGTGCGTACCTTCATAGCTGTGTACAGTAGCTGAAGATATCAAGTGGACTGCTGTACACGAGCGAGACTCCAGCTTATATAGGTAGATGCTGATGGAGAGGGGGGATGGGAGAGGTAGGTAGGTAGGTGAAGGCGACCCATTGCGAGTGATGACACCTCATTCACAATGATGTGGATGGCTTGCAGGCTCGCTACGCCGTGCACGGACATTGAGGTCTCTTGCCAGGAGATTGCATCACCACCACCACCTTGACGGTCCCAGACCACAGTATTGGAGCATCCACGCCAGGGTGTCATCACCTGGCCTCAGGCACCTCATTACCAACACTCTGTAAACTCTTTTTTCAAGGAATTCTTATTATTAGTAGTAGTAGTTTTAGTAGTAATATTTTTAGTAGCAGTATAAGTATTATTAGTAGTAGTATTATCAGTAATGTTTATTATTATATTTTTTTACGATTAATATTGCAGGGAGTGATTTATGAGCATTACGCAGAAAATACCGATAAATATTATTGTTTTAACTAGTCACTAACTAGGTGTTTTAAATTTGTTAAACCATATCAGCAGCCTAGTGGCAAGAGTCTAGTGTACTGTCTACCCGTGCCATGGCTCGCTTGTTCCAGCTGGCACGAGTGCTGCCCAACCCACACACGAATGCTGCTCAACCCACACAGGAGTGCTGCCCAACACACACACTAGTGCTGCTCAACCCACACACGAGTGCTGCTCAACCCACACAGGAGTGCTGCTCAACCCACACACGAGTGCTGCTCAACCCACACAGGAGTGCTGCCCAACCCACACACAAGTGCTGCTCAACCCACACACGAGTGCTGCCCAACCCACACACGATTGCTGCCCAACCCACACACGAGTCCTGGGCACGAGATATTCACTGTAGTCTCAAGTTTTTGGATAGAGACAGCAGGTCCACGATTCGAATCCCTGTCTATTCTTCTGAGTATTTACTGATAGTAATCTGTTACGACTTGCCTTGAGTTTATAGACCATGTGGCTTTTATTTTTTCACACAAATCAGTTTTACAGGCTAAGAACTGTTATCCAACCTCGGGTCATTTCAAAGCCCAGCCGTATCTAAGGTATACTACCACACCTCAGGATGGGACCCACAACAGTCGACTAACACCCAGGCACCTACTTACTGCTAGGTGAACAGGGGCAGCAGGTGTAAGAAAGCATAACCAATGTTTCCACCCTTGCCAGGGATTGAACCACGGACACTCATTATGGGAGTTGAGTTGCCAATCAAGCCACTGTTTTTTTCGGATGGGGGATGTGAGAATAGATGTACTATGAAAGATTTTACTACTATAATAGTAGAACTATAGTGAAGCTTGAAGCCAAGCTGTTATGACATTGTAACTTCCAGGTCTCTTACTGTTCTCTTATGTTCGATCGATAAATTTTCTGGCCTCAGATACTCTTTTCTAGGTTATGTTTCTACAGTCTTTTATTTACGGAACAGAGTAGTGTAGATGCAAGATGTCCCGCTGAATGTGTGTGCCTCACCGCCCTTGCCTTAGACACCTAGATATTGTGCCCTAGATACCTAGATACTGTACCCTAGACACCTAGATACGGTTAGTCCTTAATCTAGATAGGAGTAGACAGTTTTTCTCAGCAACTAACTTAAGTGTGGATTGTAAAATCCTCTGCTCTCTGTTTTTCCCATGTACTTGTATGTACTCCCATGTACTTCCATGTATCTCCATGTATTTCCATGTACCCATATACTCCTATGTGCTATCACGTATCCATGTACTCCAACGTACTTCGGGTTAACACAGGCTAGGTGGCCTGTGTGTCTTGAGTGGCTCTCACTCTCATCATAGCTCTAGTGTCAACTGTGAGGTATGTGGCAGTGCTGTCTGTTTACGTCAGTCTTTGTTTATGTCACATACCTGAGCGTATGTGGCAGTGTTGTCTGTCTTTGTTTATGTCAAGTACCTGAGTGTGAGGCATGTGACAGGGCTGTCTGTTTACGTCAGTCTTTGTTTACGTTGCATACCAATACGAAAATTGCGACAGTCATTCCCACAACAACTCAAGACGTTCACCATTTCACTAGCCACTGAACAGGCAATCATCCACCACCATCCACCACCACCATCACCACCCACCACCATCATCACCACCCACCACCATCCACCACCACCATCATCACCACCCACCACCATCCACCACCACAATGAATTGCAGATTGAGTGTGGTCACCAGTAATACCGTGTGAGCGCCAATACATTCTGCTTCCAAAGTATTATATTAAAAGCAAGTGTGGTAGCCGGAGTCGTGGCGGAAGATACCATGCTTACGCACGCTAAGAGTTTCACTCGTGACTGGTCATGTAGTGGTTGTAGTAATGGTGGTGAGTGTAGTGGTAGTTAGAGTAGTGGTGGTCAGGTGGTGACTGGTTAAAATAGGGGTGGTTAGAGTAGTGGTAGTTAGAATAGGGGTGATTACAGAAGCAGTTTTTAGAGTAATGGGTACCAGCCAACCCATACCCACCCTCTGCACGATAGTAACGAAAAAAAAAAACCATACCCATTAAAAAATCCAAACTTAAAAAAAATAATACAAATATCATGATAAATCAATCAATCAATTATAATTATTCCTCCCGACAAAAAGCTACAATTACGTAATATGAGAGTATCTGGGCTCTTCTGGTAAGGCAGTTATTGTGTGAATGATGGTCACTGTCTTTTCCTTTTTAGAATAAAATATGAGAAATGAGTGAAAAAGAGTGAAGAAAATATAAGACGCAAGTAGGAAAGATGAGAAACGAGTGAAAAATATGAGAAACGAGTGAAAAATCATACCACGGGCGGGATTTGAACCAGAGGTCAGAGAGTCTCAAAACTCCAGACGGTGAAAAATGTGAGAAACGGGTGAAAAAAAATGAAAAACCAGTGACATAGCAAATTATCACCTCTGGGCTGATTATCTTCCTGGTCATGTAAGTTTTCGCTCTAAATCATACGGGGTTGTCTGAGCCAATACGGACATACGCGGCGTATCTGCGCTATCTTGCGCTCAGCTACTGGAGTACCAACTTGCGTCTCAGTTCACATGGTGAGTACCGTACTGTGACTTGCAGAGTTTACTGCTTATTAATATATATATATATATATATATATATATATATATATATATATATATATATATATATATATATATATATATATATATATATATATATATATATATATATATATATATATATATATAATATATATATATATAATGTCGTGCCGAATAAGTAAAACTGATCAATTAGCAAGAATTCATTTAAAATTAAGTCCCTTTTCAAATTTTCTCTTATACGTTTAAAGATATATTTTTTCATTTATGTTAATGTAAAAATTAATAATTTTGTACCAAAAGAAGCTTGGAAAGCTTACCTAAGCTTATTATAACAAGCGCAATATAATTTAGTCTAATCCAACTAAATATATTTTAGATAATTTTACAATAATTTAGTAATAAACAAACACAATGAAATATATTTTTTTCGTTAGATTCAGAATAATTTTTGCGAAATTATTGCATACACAAATTTTAGCTTGCCTTATTCGGCAAGAACAGCGTTCCTATGTAAGCGAGAAACGCAAGTTTTACCTATTCGGCACGACGTATATGTAAGGGAGAATGTATCAATGTGTCTCATGGCTATATATTGTATTCGTGGTGGAGGCGACAGCAATGTTTAGAAGCGAAGGAGACAGAGGTGGAGGTCGTGATGGCTCCCACCTTTCACCTGCATTGTTTTAAAATTTATATATAAGAAGACCCGATGTATACAGCCTCGAGAAGACACACACACACACACACACACACACACACACACACACACACACACACACACACACACACACACACACACACACACACACACACACACACACATACACATGCAAACCAACGAAGAGTAAGGGCCAGGAGCTGTAATTCAACCCCTTCCACCCTATATAGGTGAGTTCTGTTTACATATATATACATATATATATATACATATATATATATATATATATATATATATATATATATATATATATATATATATATATATATATATATATATATTAATGGTCGTATTGATTTTCGCAATTTTGGGAAATAGACAAATTTCCACTATGCTTACTCGGCAGAAAGCACGTTTCCTTTTTAAGCCTAACTCGCCGGTTTGACTTATTCGTCACGACATACAAATGTACATCAATTATGCTAAGCCTGAATTAGGTTAATCCTGATTTACGTTAATCATAAATTAAAGTAATCCCTGGGTATGTTAATCCTAAGTTTAGCTAATCCTAGATTACGTAGATCTCAGCTTAATCTTGATTTAATTTAATTCTAAGTGAGATTAATTCCGAATTATGTTAATCCTAGGGTAGGTTTATCCTAAGCTAACCTAATCCTGTATGATGCTCGTCCAAAGATCGTTAAATCCTGAATTACGTAGATCCTAAATTTCGATAATCGTCGAGGATCTGCATTTGTATTGCATAATCTCTTCTCCAATGCGATACACTTGTGGGTTTAGCGCTTAGTTATGATTATAATAATAATAATAATAATAATAATAACAATAATAATAATAATAATAATAATAATAATAATAATAATAATAATAATAATAATAATAATAACAATAATAATAATAATAATCCTCTCCAACACGAGCAGTTGAAAATAACTGGTTAAGTATTTTCTTGAGCATCGAAATCTCCTGGCTGATGCTGTCACCAGGGACTCTCTCAAGTCTTCCTTGAGTTCCC